AAATGGGCCTGAAATGGACATGGCAGCTATAGTTTCAGCAACCATAAAAGGTAATTTGTTACATACATTTTATGAGCACCTTAATTATATCTGCTCGAGACATTTTAAGAGTATTTCAGGACTATCATCAGTTTTTTGGTCCATTAAATTTCCAAATCTCCGAAAGCGCTTGTTCCTGATGTCCTGAAATGTATTACAAAGCCATCAGTAATGATGGCTTTCCCGGCAATTTCCGGGACACTCATATGACCAGTACAGCCTGCCTAACTGGGATGTTTCGGGTTTATTTCAAAGCGCGTGACAGACAGCCTTTTCCGACAAGAGAAATTGCCTCAAAAGTGACAGAAAAGTGAGCATTTCAGCACTCGGGAAAGTTGCTGGAAAGTCTCCTGAAATGTTACATTTCGGATGCCTTGTCTGGGACATTTCAGGCCCCCTGAAATCTGGGGATGCCCGTAGTGTCAAGGCGACGCTGCAGATGATCTATCACGGCGACTGGGAAATGATCGTGATGTGCCCGGGGGTCGCCGGTTCGGAATGTTACGAAGACGAGCACCCGTTGGACCACCTGCGCAAGTTCTACCACGGGAAGGTCATCAGCGTCAACCGCGAATGGCACGACGGCGAGAACATTCCGAAACGGGATCTTGCCGTGCGATGGGCGACGGAGCTGCAGCCTGCGGACGTGCCGAGGCGAAGCGCACCTTATGTGGCCTATGGCAATGAGGCGTCCCTTAGTTTCATCTACAGCGCGATGTGTCTCGTCGTTGAGGTTGGGCCTGCAGGGTCGAGGGCGACTCTGGGCTGATATAGTGATAGCCAAGAAAACCACGATGCCGATGGTAACGCTATCACTACGCATACTGCGTACCAGTCTTACTTAAGTGATAGGTTTTGCACGGTTTGATTTGACAATAAACTCGAATTATTTCCTCAAATACATAGATAGCTCAGGTTTGCAGAGAGATGATATTTACAGACGACCCGATATCTATCATGCCACGCTCCCATCTGGCTTAGGCATTAGGCGAACAAAACTCAGGGCTAGTAGTTCATGCATTCCTCGAACTATTGCGAAGCAAAGGCGCGCCCTCCAGCGCTTGAAAAAATCTAGACGCTGGCACGGGCGGATGTGATCACTTTGACGCCTCTGCGCTCTTGCTACCACCACCTCCTTCGGGCCTTGCTGCTGCTTCGTGGCATCTCGTCTTCTTCTAACTCCTATGCTTACGGAGCGCATGTTGATGGTCAACTTGAAGTCGACGGGCTCGAGGCTCGAAACTTGGCTGAGTGTGCTGGTGAGGCTGCACATGTCTCTGTCCACGACGCGGACCGCCTTGGTGCCAACTCGCTCCTTGACATCGTCGTCGTCGGCCATGCTTGCACTCACCACATCAGGGAAAATTTGACTCTGGATAAGCCTCACAAGAGGATTTTCGACGAGACTGGTCTTTAAAGTGCCGAGCACTCCGACAAGGTCAGGAATGCCGATGGCCCTACCCCTGCCTTTGCTGCCAAGATCCGTCTTGACATGCAGGCGGCTATGCACACTGACGCTGCTGTCTTCCGGTGCGTATATAGCGGGCGGCTGGTATGCGCACATTTGCTAACAGTATACATAGGTCTTTGGACGAGAGTCACCAGAAGGTCTCTCAATCTTCAAGAGCTACGACCAAATCGGCGTTTAGGACAAGACCGCTATGAGCTGGAACTCTGATTTCATTGAAACTCTTGAGCTCCGCAACCTCTTTCAGTGCGCAGTCCAGTCCATCACTGCTGTTGCCGCCTGCAAGGAGCTTATGGTGCCCACGCTCGTGAGGACTTCACTGGGGTATGCGGAAGACTATTCTCAGCGTCTGTGCACACCCTCACATCGTTTCCCAACAGCATGACGACGGGAGCTGGGCGAAACACGCACTCATCTGCAGCACAATTTCTCGACACCTGAGGTCGACAATCAAGTGCCGTTGCATATACAAGACCCTCGACGAGAACGAGCGCCAGCTTGTACCACTATTCAAGCGTGTCTACTAGATATGCCGTATACACCCTGTCACATCCTCTACACTTCTCCCCTTTTTTCGTTTTGGTACCATCGCGTGCCTCTGGAGTCTGCGGTACGCACGGCACTGAAGATAACGGACCCTGTACATACCTTGAGGCTCAGAACAAGATGTAGCGGAAAGTGGTTATCGCAGTGTCGGGGAAAAAGTTCGTCTCACATCCCAATGATCAGATATCATGTTTATACACAGTTTGTTCACTCACCTTGCGGGAGTTGTAGAGTGTTCATTACAAGAGGCCAGCTTCTCAGGATAGCGTTTGTGAGCTATGTAAATGGATGTCGTCTTCCGTCATGGGGTATGCCCACGCGGCGGTCACACGGCCTGGTGAGAAGGGCTGACGGGTATATATCCCACGTCTTGCGCATACACCTCAAGCATGACCCTGTGCTCGACCTCAAGCTTGCGGTACCATGGCCTATTTCCTCGAAAATGCACTGAAGAATGCCCAGATACCGGGATTCACGCTAATTTGTGTGCTGTTACTTATCAGCGTGGCGTCTCGCTTTGTGCAGAGCACGAAGAAGGCTGTCCCACTTCCACCAGGCCCTGATGTAAGCTGGTTTGAACCTGGGCCGAAGTGAGTGGTCTTGCTTCCAAGTTGCTCTATGATAGATTGACCGTTGATGAGGTACTAAGGGCGCCTATGAAATATGCGGAGATGGCGAAGACATATGGTCCCGTGTTCTCGTACAAGCGAGGTAACCAGGTCGTGTGCATTATCAACAGCTACAAGGCCAGTCGCTTCGTGTTACCTTTACCTCAATTTCTCACGGAGTGTGGAGACAGGATGCGGTAGAGATCATGCAGAAGCATGGCGCGGACCTCGCTGGCCGCCCTGAGCACATTGCTGCCGACTTTCTCTCAGGCGGCATGGGCGCGTTGCTCGTTGATGCAGGGGAGAGACTGAGGAGGCTGAGGAGGTGCGAGCTTCTCTGATGATTCGTCAACTAGAAACTTCTGACGATCGAGTTTATACAGAGCGCTGCACTCACATCTGCAGCCTACAGCCGCCGTGCAGCACAAACCTATCCAATTCAAGTGCGCGCTGGATCTCATCCTGGATGCCCTCCACG